ACCCTTCTGGGGCAAGACTTGCTTCAGTGGGGCTTTGGTGCTCACTGAGGCTGCCCCCTGAGTGTGTCCCTTATGGATCTGAGGAGTTGTAATCTGGATGGTCCCACTCTGACCACTGGGTACACTGGCTCTTGGATCTCTAAGGAGGTACTAATTTAGCCTCTGCCTGAGGCTACCCAGCAGGAGCTATGGAGATATCTGCAGATTACTCTTGTTTGGGATTTGGAGGGTCCCAGATGAGGCCCAGTTGTGAAGCAGTGCAAGCTGCTGTGGGGCCTTGGGCCTTCTTTTGGAAGTTCTGGGTCTCTCTGACCCAGCTGCAGTTTGTTAGGTAATTTTCAGATTGCAAAGGGCCAGGCCTTTCATATGCAAAAGCCTCTGCACACAACTTGTGTGGGGTGGGGTCTCAGGGGATCAACAGGGCGGAGCAAGCAGCTATGACTGCTCCTCAGTCCTACCCTAAGAGGCCCCAGGTCTCAGTGTCCCGGTAATCACTGCAAGCACCTCTGAGAGAAAGCCACCCTCGAGTTCTGACTGATGCCAGACAGTCCAGTTTCTCCCCGTATGAGTCTGGGTCCCCAGAGACTCACCCGGAACTGGAGATCAGAGCAGTCGGGAGCTTGAGACTCCCTCCCGATTGAAAGACAACCGAGTCCTCCGTTGCCAGCCCTTTCCACGTGCGCCTCCGTACCTCTGCACTTTGCTTCCACATCTCCTCTGAGTCTCAGTGTGCTTTTCTCTTTCCTTCTAGTTGTAGAATTTCCACTCAGCCAGCCTTCCTGTGGTTCTGGATGATGTCTGTTTTGTCTTTTAGTTGTATGTTTGAAGTGGTTGTGCGAGGCAGCAATCTCCGGTGTTTACCTATGACGCCATCTTGGTTTCTCCAAATACAGTGCATTTAAAATTAATTAAAGTCCACGCACAAGCAACTATGAGCTATTATGTCAGGTAGGAATACAGTTGCCCATGAACAATATGGTTTTGAACTGCATGGTCAACTTTTATGAGGATTTCTTTTCAATTAATACATACAGTACTGTAAATGTATTTTCCTTACGCTTTTAATAACATTTTCTTTTCTTTAGCTTACTTTATTGTAAGAATAGAGTTTGTAATACAGCTAACATACAAAATACATGTAAATAGACTGTTGATGCTATTGGTGAGGGTTTTGGTCAACAATACGCCATTAGAAGTTTTTGGGGAGTCAACAGTTATATGCAGATGTTCAACAGCTTGGGGGGGGGAGGGGTCAAGACCCCTAACCCCTGCATTAAGGGACAACTGTACATGCTGAGGTGGTAAAGACTCAAACGGGTGACGTTACTACAAACTTCCGAATAGTGAGTGCCTCCAGAGACGAGGAGTGGGCTGGGGAGGGAGCACACAGGCTCTGGAGCCTGAGCTGTGGGAACCTGGACATCTTTTACTGTCCTTCCAAGTGCACAGGCACATTTTAATTTGTAAATTATATTTCACATGGAAAAGAAAAAAAGAATATAGGACAAAAGAAAAGCATTAAATGGTATCATTTACAAATAGTACACTGGAAAGGTCTTGCTTAAGTGGGGAATAGAAAGTGACAAAATGTGGAGCTGGAAGAAAATTGAGAGGCTACAACATTCCCTTCTCCGCCTCCCTCCTCACCCTGCGCAAGGGGCTCATTTCTGTGCACCTCCACCAGAACCTTGCCACCTTACTATCTGCGGAGAGTGGGAGCTGTAACCAAGAGCAGGACTTCTCTGTATTCACTCCCAGGAAGGCGCAACAACGGCACAAGGGAGATTTTCCAAAGTAAGTGTCTCCTACAGTAAACTGCAAGGTTAAGCTAGGCTCAGGGTGTGGCTACTGCTTCCCTGAGAAAGGTGTGACCAGGAAGTAAGGCCAGACACTTCCCCTAGCAATCCCAGGTAACCTCCCCCACTTCCCACCAGCAATCTCAGATAACCTCTCCACTTCCCCTAGCAATCCCAGATAACCTCCCCCACTTCCCCTAGCAATCCCAGGTAACCTCCCCCACTTCCCCTAGCAATCCCAGGTAACCTCCCCCACTTCCCCTAGCAATCCCAGATAACCTCCCAGGGTGGGAGCAGGGGGGTGGCAGAAGCAGATCAGTACAATTCCTTATTCACCCGCACTGCCCAACCCAGGTCTCCCCACTGGGGAAACTAACATTTGTGAAGTATCTAACATATGTAATGCTTCACAGAAATCACAATCTACCCATAAGCACTGTAAAATATTAATCCCACTTCACAGATGAAAAAACTGAACATCGAAGAGAATAAAAGCAACTTGAATGAACTAAAAATAGCGAGGCTAGTTTTCAAGGCCAGAGCTTGCTGGCACTTCTGTAGCTGACACCCCTGGAGCGTGATTCACTGAGCTCTGGGACGGATGAGCTAGCATTAAAAACAAAAAGGTTCATTTAAGAGACATCATTTTACCAGAAAAGCATTGAAACTTGACTAATCTTTTATTTTTCTTATTTGACTTCTCAAAAAGGGTGGGAGAGTTAAAAATTTTCTTTGATAAGTTTTTATAATTGTATCCTCTTCTTCTCTATTCTGAGACTTTTCCATAAGAATATTCACTTTAATCCGACTTCTGCGTGGCTGGAAAAGTGGATATGCAGTAACACTTTCAAATTCTTTTATCTCTTTCTTTATTCTCTCACGCTTCTCTGTTGTAGGTGGCTGGCTCTGGCTTTTTCTCAAGAATCTTGCCTTGAGTCTTTGCTCTATTAGTTCCCTCCCTCTAATCATGCGTTCCTGGTGATCTTTAATTTGCATCTGTTCCCTGTCATTTACCCGTTTTCTTCTCTGTGCATTCTGGATGCCAGGCCCTGCGCACACAAGCTTGGGGAGTGCCGGCTCAGGAGGGGACCACAGTAACTGTCTAAGGGCTTTCTCTGTGAGCTCTCTGGCCTGTGCCGCCTGCTGCATTTGCCGCGCTATGTGTCTCATCTCTCTCTCAGGCACCAAGCAGCACTGTGTCTGTCTGTCCGTGCTTTGGGTTGCCTTCCCCTCCCATTTCTTCTCAATCCCATTGCCTGCCTCTTGTGCTCTCATCATTCCCACCAATCCTTTGCTATAGTAAGACTCCACTCGGGCGAGCCAGTAGTCAAGGGAGAGATCTTGCTCCCTATAGAGTGTCTGATACTCCTCTTGATTTTTTTGAGTTCTCAGTTGTCTGGCTGCTTTGGTACGCACACCACCTAGATTCTATCGGGGGGACAGAATTGTATGGGGTGACCATCTTTTACACTGAACATATTTAAACAGTAGTTTACCCTGACTACTGACACCAAGAAAAGATGAGTGGTTTATGGTTTACTTTAGTATAAGAACTTTGTTACTCCCATCATTCCTAGGTGAGCCTGTGAGCTCTGAAAGGTAAAGTACCTACCACCAAAATCAATAACTAGCTTTCTAAAAATATAGTGTTGGGAGTTTCCAAAATAATACTTTGTTTTTCAAGTATGGATATAGCTAGAAAACAGGTGCCAGTGTACACACACTACTCGAGGTGTCACTTCAGCAGAAAGGTTTTAAACCTAAGGTTCTTTCTCTTAGTAGTTCCAACCTGTATGATGTGAAGACAACTTATTTACCAATATTTTTTTCTCCAGTGGGGACTGCTGACCTGAAGCAATCCTAGGGTCTCTAGATGCTTTAACCCAGGCCAACCTGAAACACAAGAAAAGCAAAGGCAGATTAGAGTGTGGTGTGTCAGAATGTATCTCCCATACTGACTAAACCAAACCCAACTGCCCTGGCCGAGGCCAGGATATTCCGCTTAGAAAGAGTAAACCTGCTCACAGGCAAGACGCACAGGCCATTTCCCCCCTGGAAACTACCAGGTCCTAGGGTAGACAATAATAAAATGAATGCTCTTTTTATAAGAGCATTTCCTATAAATGAAAAGCATACTTCTCTTGTGGACTCAACGCAAACCATTCTGAATCTTGCACCGGGGACTGGGAGAGGGGAGAGGCAGATTCCTTGGTGAAGCGTGGCCCAAGCACATCTATGTCAGACTGCGCAGTCCCCCAGCCGCCCCTGTCCTCTGAGATAACTCTAGAATGAAGCGGTAGGAGTTCATTCTCATTCTGCAGTTTCTTGATTCTGGCCCTCTCTGCCTCTATCAGCAAATATAGCATCTCTGCCCTCTAATCTTTCGTTCTGAAATTCTGTTCTTCCTTATACTGCCATTCATCCTTCACCTTAAATCCATTATGACACCATTACCTGTGTACCCCTTATGATGGGAATCTGTGTTGACTCTGGTTTACTTACAGGACAGCCTGATGGCAACTCAACTGTGACTGCCAGGTTCCTATGCCAGCCTTGGCCTCATCGAAGCTTATTGTGAGGTCACATTTAAGCCGCTGAAGATGCCTGACATCTCATCTCTAAGCCCTTCTTAAGAACATCACTGATGGTTACGAGCACGGGCTCTGAAGCCTGACAGGGCTGTGTGTGACACAGGCAAGCAACGCCACCTCTCTCAATATCAGCGTCCCCATCTATAGACAGATACAAGATGAAAAGCTGCCTCTTGAGATCAGAAAGAACAAATGTGAACTAGATGACAGAGCTTGGCATGATGCCTGATGTGACAAGTCCTCCATTAAATACCAGGTGTCTACCCTCCACAGTCAGGCCCCTAATTCTCTAGAAAGCCTTTCTGCCTTACTCTGTGTAACAGTGATTTTGCCTTCTTCTCAACACTTACCATTTTTACTTTGACAACTCATTTGAAAATCAATCATGGTTTACGTTATGGTATCTGTATTCATGTATCACTGTAAAAATGGACTGAAACTCAGACTCATCAAGGGTGGGAATTATATCTACAACGACAGTGATGTGTCCATATTATCAGAAAGGATCTTGATATCAAATATTGGACTTCACTGACCTCTTAGGTACATTCATATTTCTCTTACTATGTGTATCTATTTTGAGATTTAAAAAATGACCATCTTTTATTTAGTATATAGCATCTAGCATAGTACTTAACATTAGTCCGTGATCCCAAGTTCTCATAATTAATGACTTGTTGATTGATTATACGTATTATATAATATCTGGGCATCTTTCTCTCTTATGTTCCCCATAATACTGTATCTACTTTTTATTAAAACATCTACCAGTCTTTCTTGAAGTATACAGGCATATTTGTTATATGCCCATCCTGGGTTCTCACATTTTGTCTTACCAGTATACTTTCATTGTATTTTAATTATTCATTTGCACTTAAGGTCAGAGAACAGAGTTTTCAACTTTGCAGCCCAACCTTCTCAGCTCAAAGACTGGCAAAGGTGCTAAATAAATACTAACTGAACAGATCGTGAGCTTCCATTGGAAAAAGGCCATGCCTTATCCACTCGCGTTCCTTTACTGCATTAGGACAGTATTCCACCCATGGCGGACCTCCAATGAAAAGGAAAAGTTGCCCTGGTTGGTTTGGCTCAGTGGATAGAGTGTCAGCCTGCGACTGAAGGGTCCCAGGTTCAATTCCAGTCAAGGCAAAATAGGGAGTGTGCAGGAGGCAGCAGATCAATGATTCTTTCTCATCACTGATGTTTCTCTCTCTCCCTTCCTCTCTGAAATCAATAAAAATATATATTTAAAAAAGGGAAAGTTGATGAGGGAAGAGCACTAATTTCAATTTCCATTTTCAAAGAAACACACAGAGAGAAGTGAGAATAGAAATTGCCTACCATCATGGGTTCAGCAACAAACCTGCTTTGTAAGACAGGAAGCATGACACGCAGGTAGGTGAAATGATGTCTGGTGGCCTGCTCAGTCTTAACCCCTCACTACTGTCCTTCCCTTACAGCAGAGCGAGGAAGGCCGGAGCCTCTTCAAGAAGAGACCACAGCTTGTCTCTTCCAGAGGAGAAATGAGTGATGGCTCCGGGACTTTTATACCGAGAGCTTAACACAGCTCCCGGGTTGGGTGGGGATGCAAGGGCCGAGAGGGAACTAAGAAACTTCAGGACAAGTTTCTATTTTAGATTGCACTTAACGGATGGCTGCAAGTAGCAAGATTTTCTAAAACTATTTGTTCTCAGGTTTTAGAAAAGATTTGGGAAACGTCAACTGTCCACCTAATGGATGATGACGATTTAGATAGAGCTGGTTGGACGGGAGGCGAGGGACGCGGTAAATGGAGGTAGGTGTGCAAATGAACACAAACTTGACCTACGTCTCGGTGCAGTCCTATCCCGGCTGCCCCTTGCCTAGTGCTAGCGTCTAAGGCGGGGTGGTCAGCCTCTGGTCTCGCCACTGCCCAGTGCCGGGCCGAGCTCCGGGCACCCCGCTTCCTTCCATTCCCAGGGACCGAGCACTCCTCCTCCGCTTTCGCTCTCCCGCCTCCCCGCTCGCCGCCTCTGCAGAAGCCGACTCACCCTTCCCGGAGGCCGGGAAGAGCCCCTACCGCCCAGGCGGGGCTCCACAGAACGCTCGTACGGCCCGCGAGGCCCACGCGCGCTAAAACTCTAACTCCCCAAACGCTTAGTTTTGTTTGTTCTACCCACCGCGCAGCCGCAAACGGGAAATACCGGCTCAAGAAGGGCGGGAGTTGCAGTTCTCTATCCTTAAGAAATTCGGTAAAGTTACAAGGATTTTCGGAGGGCCCGCGCCCGCACTGGGTCCCCTGTAAGACGCGAGACCAAGAAAATAAACATCCGACGTTTGGGTCCGAAGAGGAAAAGCAGCGGCGGCGTATCATTACCCGCTTTCTCAGCCGAAGTCGCAGAACCAGGCTGAGACGTCGCACTCCTTTCCCGGAGTTTCCACTCCGCGGGTCCCGAGACCGCCTGGCGGGTTATAACGTCACAGCCAATCGGGAGCCGGCAGCGGCGATGCTCTAGTCTAGCCGCCGCGTGCTCGTTGCTCCGCCGCCCGCGCCAGCGGACGC